TGTTTGTACTCCTGGAACACTCACTGTTCCTAACAGCATTTTATGGTCTTCAACACTGTCCAGGATTTAAAATAAAATTTCTTAACCCTTATGGCAAAAATTAAAGACTAACTTATGATTGACAGAAATAATGCAGAGAGGAGACCAAAGGCAGCAAACTATTTTTTATAAGCTGGAGTTTAGGTTCTATGTACAAAGATAAGAAGCACCAAGAAAAGCAGCATGTAAGGGTGAGGGGAAGATGAGGGAGGGTTACCTGACATTTTCCTGGTGGATATGCTGCATGAAGACACCACATGATTCATAAGAACCATGTTTTAAGCTTGAAATTAAACAACTTTGGTGAAAGTAGGTTTAAGTTTTCTTCTAAAGAAAAAAAAACCCAAGACAGGTTTATTGATTTCCAGTGTCTTCTGACTAATCAATTTCATACTTTTTACTTAGATTGCACATCCCAATCAACAGCTAGCAGCTATGAGCAATCCTTTTTAAAGAGCAGAAAAAAAACCCTAAACCATGCCAATACATCGATTTACAGATACTTTCCATTCATTATGAACTCACAATATCTACTGAAATAATGCAGTGTATTTCTGCAGCATCTGATCAGCCACAAGGCAAAATTGATCATCATCTCAAAAGAAAAACTGCTTAATCAGATAGATATAACTGTAGGGCAGTCAGACTGTTAGAATTCTGTAACTACTAGTGAGTTTTGAAAGTGACAGCCTAAATAAAGAGGAAAAAAAATATTATTCCACTACTTATTAGAGCTGTCCTACCACCACTGCTACCTAAATGGCAACCTCCAAAAAGGATAGGCAAATAACTGTGGAAAGTAACATCCTGAAATCCTACTGCTAGATTCACCACAGATTATTTGCCAGAATCTACACTGAAGTAAAAAAAGTAGGAAGCCTACTACAAAACACTGATGACGTCGTTAATACTTTGAAGGATAACTTGCTTTTAGATTCATCTGAAAGCATTGGCTAAACTCGTTAACATTTGCTCTGCTGTATCTTCATAAGAAGCGAGAAGCAAGGCACAACAGAAAATCCGCAGAGTGAAACAGTTGGTGCCGAAAGCCCAACGCCTGCCACAGGTAGCCCTAGTCCTGCAGAGCAAGCACCCACTAACAGTTGAAGGATGTCCTCAAGGTCAAAGCAAACTACTTTCTGCTCCCCAACACCATTCCACGATGCAAACATACGCACTAGTAGTAGAGACTATCATGGGATTTGCTTGAAACACATACTCCTTAACCAAACCAAGCCACTTGTGTAGATGCACCCAGAGGTACAGAGGACGCCAGCAGTAGCTGCACGTGTTCATGCATACAGGGGAATAGTGTTCTGGAGAACAGCAACTCAAAAAGGCTTAAGATAAACAGTGGTTTAAGACAGCTTTCCGATTACACTGTTTAATTACAGGCTATCAACACCTTAAAGGTTATCAGTATCTTAAAGAATAAAAGTCAAGCACCATGTCCAGTTAGGCACCGAGATGCTAAGCATCCTCGATAGCACAGTCCAAGATACCCTCAGTGTGGTAGATCCCCTTCCAAGTGTTAGAGTTCTCCTGTGCCCTCCCCTTAAAAAAAAAAGCAAGTAAAAACAACCCAAAGACCTTGTCTGGGACCTGCTATCCGAAGCAAATATCTCAATTCTAGTTTCCCTCTCTGTAAATCCTGCTGCCCAATCACGGGGTGATAACTTGTGAAGTATTCCCCAATACTTTTGCCCCATTTTCATCTATAACAGTATTAGAGTAAAAATAACAGGAAAATTAGAGATGTTTGTAAAATTTGCTCAAAGAAAACTTACATACATAGGACTTCCAGAGGAGGTGAAGAAGAGTTTCCTTAAACCATTTTTAATTAAACTACAAATTGAAAGTTCAGATTTCTTTGGTCTTGACAAATTATTTACCAATTTTCAGAGCTCAAAAGCTAACATCCCACACAACTGACGAAGCCATCTACTTTCAGTGCAGATAGCCAGCAACACCCATTAGCAGAATTTTAAGCTCTCATGTTATATATGAATGAGTGATGTTGTAAAAGAAAAATAATCTTTCAGTGTACTTTCACAGAAAACCGAATACTATGCTCTTCATAGTTTCAACAGTAAGAATGCCGTCTTTAGAATAAGGCTGCCATCTAGTAGCAGAATAGAGTAAATGCAGAGAAATCTCCAGCCCGAATTTTAACTGTGAACCTGCTTGATGGTCTGACACGCTATTACACAAAACTACAAATACTGGAAGCATTGTTCTTCAGACAAAAAAAGAGAAAAGAAGAGGCAGAAAGCAGAACTTGCTAGATGGTGGTTTATGAACAGGAGGTTCTCCAGTACAACCCTAACCTATTCAGTTCACAACGAAGTTTATCCTGTCAGGTAAGTAAACACGGAAAGGCAGTACAGAGCGTAGTAGTATTTTTGTGGTGGTGATATACATCATCTTTCAAGTTAATTAGAAAAACTGCAGCCTAATTCACTTTTTCTGAAGGACTTTTTCTGTATGAGGTCTCATGCTACAAAAGTGCAACGAAACAAGTTCAGTTAGACTGAACCACAAAGACATTCAAAGCAGGGCCTAGCATCTTCTACTGGAACTAGAGTCACACACAAAAAATTCTGCATAAGCAACTTCCTGAAGTGTTACCATATTTATTCTCGCTTCTTGGAAACTATGCAGTTTCCAAGTCAAGAGTTGCAGTACATAAAAATTTTTCTCCCTCATTGAGCTGTCACTGGCTTTATTTTAGTTTTGTAGACTGAGAGCCAATACGTTCTACAGCTATACTCCACAATGACTTGACACAGCATTTCATCTATTGATCATCTCTAACACCACCAAGAAAAAGCTCTGAGACGTCATCACAGTGATGCCTATTTCATACAATGCTTTCCAGTTCAGTCATTGAATACATTCCAAGAAATCTATGTATGAGCATACCACAGCCACAGAGTTACCAGGGCTTTTGGAAGATGCTGAAGTGTCTTGTCTACGTAGGAAAGAATTACTTGTTTCTGGTTTGTGAGAAGAGAAAGCCAAGACTCTTGCTTTGCAAGATCCACTGGCAAAGAACCACTCTCTCCTTAAGATATTTTCAAGGCCACCTGCTTCCACTGCAGCTTTCCTGAAGAAACTGGAAGCCAGCAGGGGAAGAAAAATAACATGATGGCAAGTGGGGAAAAAGCTGACAGCAGAAAGCTGAAGAAGACAAAGGGAAGAAGTACAGAAATAGAATTCAATCACTGTTTCAAGTGTCTCCACCAATGAAGGAGAAAAAACAGCCTTGCACTTTTGAGAGCTATGAACATATTTTTCAGTACTTATCAGAGAAGGCACCAGTCAAGATGTAAAAAAATAAAATCACAAGTTAAACTGAGTCACATCTAACAACATTAACATCAGTCCTCAGAAGATTAATTTTAATTCCATGTACAGGAGCAGAAAGAAGTAGATACCTGTAGGAATGCAGGTTAGTGTTGAACAAACTGCATGAGTAATTCATTTTGTCCCTCCTTAACACAGTAAATCTCATTCTAGCAACATAAGCCTGCTCATATCCTTAAGTTTTCAAAATTAGAACTTCCCTTTTTTCATTCTGACTTTAATAACTTACCATGCAAACATAACCTCTACCCTTAAGAGTTACTCATCTGTCCTTACTACTGGTATCTGTGACAGGCTACAGTTCTGGAAAGCAGAAGTCTACATGATGTAGGGAAGTAGGTCTTGTGTTCACAATTCCTCATTTACTGGAATAAAGACAAATGTATGTTAGTGGCTCCAGTGCATTTCCAAGCCTATCCCTCTCATCCACTGTGAAAAAGGACCCCAACTACTCTTTAGGAGTTAAGAATTAGAAATCACTTTCCATGTTTCCTGCTTCTGCTTACGAAGTTCGCATTTGACTGGTTCCTTGTGGATTAACTCAAAACTGTCATAGCTCCTTCCTTGAACCACTAACTAGTAAACGGTCAAAGCTAGACTAACAAATAAGAGTATTTGTTAGTCTACCTTTACTAATAAAATATCTGCTTCCACCCAGAGATCAGTTCTGTAGCAGAACCTCACTAGGTAACTCTATTAAAGTAACATGATACTGAAAAGCACGAGTAATACTGAAGAAAACCCAAGACATTTAGTTGCATTCCCTTTCTTAGAAAAGAGTGAATGAAAGGTGCCAAGAAGCTAGTATGTCAGATTTTATGCATTACATCCTACACCTCCTCCCTCAGAATTTTACAGGGCTTGAGCTTTTTTTTCTTGGTAAGACAAAACCTGCATGTATTTGCTAAAGTAACTGTGCAATCTGAGTCAAAATTCTATCACTTTAACAAAGACTACTGTGTTGAATGCCTTCCCAAAACCTATTTCTACAAAAACAATTCTTTTTTGCACTCTCAGGTAGACTTTTGCTTTGGTATTTACAGTCAACAGTTCAAAGACAATGCTGGTAAAAATTACACTTTTAAAAGACAGACAATAAAACTATTGAGAGGAAAAGGAACTAGCATATCCTCATCTTTTGAAAATACCAGTAAGATGCTAGCTGCAGATCTACATCTCTGATGCCTGCTTCTCCCCCTCTCCAGTAAACGATGGGCCAAGAAAGAATATGGGAGAAGTACTTACCAGAAAGACAAGGCAGACACCCAACAAAAAGTTATGACAGAACAGGTTACTTAGCTCTCAAACTTCAGGAGTCTGACCCCAAGAAGCATATGTGATTTTTAAAAAACAACTCTATGTAACAAGGAATAATTTTCTCGAGAGAATTCATAAACAATACAAAGTTGTCAAGCAGAGTAATCCCCTAAAATAAAACCACTTTAATTTTCTTCCTATCAGAATTTTAATCACACCTATTTAAAAAAAAGCAAATCTAAAGTCATCCCTAGGATGAATACCAGATTTCTAAGTGGATTAAAACCAACACACCCAAAGTATCACAAATGTACTTCATTCCCAGTTCAATAAAATACTGGAATATCAATTTATTAAAAAGTTATGTGAACTGTACATACGTAAACTGCAATATAGCTGAAAAATCTGAAATATATAATTTTAAAGGAAAATCATTTATTTCTGAAAATATTTAAAATATTGCATTTCTGGCAGCAAATTTAAAAGAAGTGCTCTGGAATGGATGCAGTCTCTCTGTGCATTTGTCTAGCATTTGTCTTCAAGGCGTAAAACATATCTGGTTTCTGATTTTTCATAGCACAATCTTGTGAACACTTGCTTTCTCAGTTGTAGAGACAGATTTCGATTTCCAAGAACAGCAGCAGAATTTTAAGAGGAAATACTATGGTCCTTTGATGGTGCAGACAACACGCTTCCCGAGTCCATGACACCTTGGAAATATGCTAGCCATTCTGCATATAAATGCATCAGATTGTGCTCACAAGTTACAAAATAAGTCTTTGATTGATAATTTTTCTGTTTATTTCCGCCAAGGCCACTGAAAATACGAAGGCCTTTTCATCTGAAAGGTTAGCATACATGTCAACTTCCTTTTCTTGTTTCTCTGTAGAAGAAAAAAAAGTCACTATTAGAAGCTTTTTCCATTATCTGAAGTTAATGCAAGTTACATAGTAGTTAATAAATTATGTGAATGGAATACTGGAATTGAAAAGAAGTTAAACAATCAACTCCTGTTCATAGAAGGATTGAGAAAGAGGAGGAAGAAATGGAGGCAGACAAAGGTGCTACAAGAGTCACATAATTAGTCATCCAACAGCATGACTGATTTTCTGTTCTTTAATGATGAAGAAAGAATGAATCACTAACATTATACTGATGCCTGACACAAACGAGTATTCAAGTGTACCTCCATTTTTTTTTGCTTTTACATAAACACTCCCATTCTAGAAAACAAAGTTACTTTACAATATCCTCATTAAATACGACATTTCTCCCCTTATTTTACATCTAAATAACAGAAATCCAACAGTTTAATTACAGTGTCCAAAACCAAAGAGCAAATACATGGGTAAGGTTCCAAATTTGTCACCATGAACATTTCTGGACTTCCTATACTACAGACTTTCAATCTTATCCCAGATAATGAACAGTGCTAACACCTCAGTAAGCAAGTAAAAGCCTCTGAATTCCCTCTGCTGCGTTGGCTTCTTTCAATGCTACAGACACACAACAGCAAACCATCAAAGTTTCCATACTGCAGTGCTGAAGTACACTGTTAACACTCTAGCACGTGACAAAACTCATAGAATGGTACAATTTCATAAATAGTCATGATCTGGAGTGTTATATCGCAGTTTAGCTAGCCGCAGGTAGCTGACACAACTCATTAAGAAACAACAAACCAACCCCCCCAAACAGCTTTGTCAGCAGAAGACCAAGATTGTAGACACAAAGAAAAGAGAAATACATATAGAGCTTTAATGTTATTGTCTAGCTGTGGAACTGCATCTCTAATCCAAGTTCCATGGTGGCCTGCACTAATTTACAATCACAACCCAAGGCTCACCTGACAGACCCCTCTGTCTCATTAACACACAGACACATGGTGCACACTCTTTTTGCCCACAGCACGCTCTGGCAGACTGCTCCACCAAGACACCTAATTCAGCAATGGGTAAGTGAAAGACAAAGCAGCATTGGAACATAATGGAAAGCACCATGTGGAAAAATCCCAGCATCCATCTCCATCTACTCACACAGTCATTCCTTCAATGGGTCCACATTCATAACAACACTTTTAGATTTGGTTTCACATCTGTGTTACAGATCACAGATGCTATTCTGACAGACTGCCCTCCCTGTAAAGTCAAGTGCACATGTTAAACAACTAAGTGGGAGAAACTGAAAAATCCTTTACCGCTTTGTTCTAACTTAACACTGATAGAGACACACAGCAAGAAAACCCTCTACTTAAAAATTTCTAGAGAACTGAAATGACACACAAGCTCACCCTTCCCTGGAAATAAAATTGCTTAGTAAGGAGCCTGGACAGAAATATGCACCAGTTTTTAATCTGAAAACAGAAACTTGCTTAGCAAAGGAAGGTAATCAAGCACATTTGATACTTAAGAGTCCGATTTCTGTTGGTTCCCTGGCTATACAAGACAATATTCTCTAGTGTATTGAGTTTGAAACGAAAGCTAGGAAACGGAGTTTCACTTCAAGTCCTGCCCTGCAGTTCAAGACAAATCAGTTTCTATATGTACACTCAAGTCTGGGTTGCTCCACTTCCTCCCTCCCCTTTACAAATTAACAATGCTGGGAGTTGTTCTGAGCAGACACTACACACACAGGTTATTCCACATTAACCTTTTCTATTCTCATATCTAAACCTCTCCCCTCTTTTTCATACTTCCCTATTCAAACAAACCCAGCCATCACCTGAATATGTCAACACCCAGCAAAATTTTTTTTCTCCCCCCTGATTACTGTTAACAGATTGTAGACTTAAAAAAAAATTCTCAAGTTTCCCTCCCCCCCCCCCCCCCCCCCCCACCA